CTTACACAATCTCCCAACAGCTCCCCTCCCCCACAAAAAGAAAATTTGCTTAATTTTTATTATTTCTTTTTATTATCGGTAGTACTCTTGCCCCACAAATACAGCACATTTTCTTTTTCAACATCTCCCCTTTCTTTGCTATTCTAAACAGCAGCTGACTGCGGCCACTGCAGCTAGACATGTTTCCTAGACTCCCAAAAGTGGCTCGTTGGGTTTCGATCCAGAATCTCGTAGAAAAACTGATATTGCCCCCGTCCGTAAGGCGCCATCGGTAGGGGCTCAAATTTGGGCAGTTTACAGTCCGAGTTCTGGTGACTGTACTCGGGGCGGCGGTCACAGCCAATAGTTCCGCCCACATGTATAGCGCAACACCCGGCGCAGTGACGTTGCATTACGTTGGGAAAGCTATTCTCCTCTCGACGATGTTTATTGCGCTGTTTGAATGCCCGCATACGATAGAAGTCACCGAGCGAGGGCTTGTCTATCGTAGGCACCTTTGGGTCCTCCAGTTTGGCGTAACGACAGTGCACGTTGTAGTCCATTTCCAGGGGCTGACGCTCGTGCATCGAGGGCACATCCTGGAAGAAGCGTCCCTGATGCGAAATGTCACGTAAGGTAAGAGTGCTGGGGTAGATCATGCTGCCACTGGAGGAGTAAGGGCTGAACCCGACGGCCGCTTGATGTCTTATCAGCTGAGGCAGTCTGTCGTAGACATAACCGTTGTGGAAGTCATGCGGCATCCTGTCTTGGATTAAAAAGGAGGGTACAGATGCGGCGACAGCAGAAAATTTACGTTAAAAATATCAATAAATTTATTTGACCCAATTGTGAAAAAATGCAGGGTGTCGGCGGGAGTCGAACCCGCACATCAGGGAAGGCCTTTACGCAGCCAACGCTCTACCGATTTGAGGTACGCCGTGAATTTAATCACATTTGGATCGATTTTACCCGCCCAACTTATCACTCGTATGGAATCCACCAATACAGAACAGCAAGCCGACTGCCCAAGCAGGATTTCCTAAGCAATCATCTGGAATCCACCAGAATGACTACCAGGCTGACTTGATTGTTAGGGGGTTTTGGCAGATTTGCTTAATTTAGTTGGCCGATTCGCGGACTCGGTGGGAGTCGAACCCGTAATAAATTGTATGGGGGTAGACACGCATCAACGACTCGTGGAGCAGAATATCAGCACAGAGGCTCTGTGTGAGAGAACTTCAATGTTTTAATCTAGTGCGACATCGTCCCCATAAGGCGTTAGTAAAGATGTCAATATTTCCAGGTGTACGCCGTCTGCAAAGTTACGTCAAAGTTACGTCTTAACGCTGTGCTCCCCACACGGTGACCGTTGCCAAATCAACTCAAGAAGAAACGTGGTGACCCAAAGCTAGTGTCAAGCAGCCGACCCTTCAGGTTAAGCTGACTCAGATTAGGAGCATACTTATCAATACATATGGCGGTATAAATAGGCTTTCTAAATTCAGACTATTCTCATCGC